TTGCTCAGTTTAAAAATGCATTTTTTGTCACTTTTTTTTTGTAAAGGTGAAATCATTTATTAATTAAACGGAAATAGGAAAAAGAAAATGGTACAGCCCAGAAAGGGCTTTACAAGTAATCAGCCATAACAACAGCTAGGGAGAAACAAACAGCAAGAATAAGAATAAGAACAGCTAAAACAGAAAACAGCTACAGATCAGAAACAAAAGGAATCGAAGATAGCACCACATCCTCCTACAGAGACCTAGAGCAACAATGGTAGCATCAGAATCAGCAACAACAAACGCAGCAGGTCACACAAATTACAGCAGCAGCGCCAACAACAGCATTGACAGCACAACCGCAGAACATCAACACAAAAGCAAAACAGATAAATAGATGAGGACAGTTTATTAACGCCCCTGAGCACTAGGAGCTCAGTGTGGCGGTTCCTGCACAACTCTAGGTACCAGCTGCTCTTTCAACTTCCTCATCCAATTCTCCGCAATAACTCTATCAACCTTCTCATTAGCACACAACCAGTCCGCCATAGCACGAGCGATTCGAAAACAGATCACATTAACTGTTTCCTCGTCTCGAAAAATCATGCCATTCCTTCCAGCCAAAGCCGCCAACACAGAGCGTGCAAAAACACTCTAGAACACCATTCACGAGGACAAACAGGTTCCCTTTGCTGCCACCTATCGATTAGAACAGATATATCCCCATCTCGGTTAATAGGAAGCTTCACAAAACGCCTCATTGCTTGCCACACCATACGCGAGAACCTGCAACCCAAGAAAAGATGATATGCACTTTCTTCCTCTTCGTAGCACTGGGTACATCGGTTTGGCAATATCCATCCACGCTTCTTGAGTAGGTCTTGCGTCAGAATTTTTTTTTTGGAACACTAACCAAACAAACACACAGACTTTGAACGGGACAGGCTGCTTCCAAACAATGTTAGCAGGGAACACGATTCCACTGCTGTAATGTTCACCAAACAGCGAGTCATACATGGACTTCACTCTAAAGCCAGTGCTCGGGGACGGCTCCCAAGTTAGTTTTGCTGGACCTGCAGAGAACAAAGTGGAAGAGAACAAATCTCTCACCCTCAGCCCCACCTCTAAGAATATAATTTAAATGTAAGTCCCATGAAAGGTTTCTCTCTCCAATATGCAAGACATCAGCAATTCGACAGCACGGCGAAGCAGTAGCAACGACGATCTTGGAAAGACTCTGGCAAGAGAGGGTTGGCCTTTTATCCACACGTCGTACCAGAAGGAGGTCCAAGCTCCATAACCAGGGTCCACCCAAGCCAACTTCCAAAATTCCTTCGAGAGTTTCTGAATTTGAGACCAAGGGCTGCAACCCATCGATCCACGAATCTCACCCGTGCTCCATTCGAGGCTTAATGAGGGAACTTAATGCCAATCAGCTCCCTCCACCATTCATCTCTCTCGTAAGCAAATCTCCACAGCCATTTTGCTAACAAGGCTTTATTACACGTCCTCAAATCAACAATTCCCAAGCCACCGACTTTCTTTGGCCTTTTACAAGTTTCCTAAGACACCAAATGCATCTTTTTCTCTTGACTCCCACCTGACCAGATGAACTCTTTCTGAATTCTCTCAAACTTCTCAATTATGCTAGCTGGCGCACTAAAAAGCGAGCACTGATAAAGAGGTTGGCTTGCCAAGACTGCGTTGCACAAAGTTATTTTACCGCCTAAAGATAGATATTTACCCTGCAACCCTTCCAACTTCTTCTGAATCTTCACTAGAATTGGTTCCCAAATAGCTCTGGACGTAGGCTTAGCGCCTAAAGGCAGCCCAAGATACACCGTGTGAAGAAAGCTCCAATCACATCCGAGGATCCTAGCCAGCCTTTCAATGTTATCGAACTCACCGACCGGGTACATCTTACTCTTATCAAGGTTGATCTTGAGGCCTGTGATGGATTGAAAGCATAAGAGGGCAGCCATAACATTAAACACTTCTTCTTCCGAGGCATTGCAGAATACAATAGCATCATCAGCATACAGTAGGTGAGACACCTGCCCTCTCATGTTCCTTTCATAATCAATATGGAACCCAGTGATGAGACCATCTTCCTGCATCTTTTCAATTATAAAGGAGAAGACATCCATGACAATGTTGAACAGAAGAGCAGAGAGTGGGTCTCCCTGCTTAAGACCATGCTCCATGCTAAGAAATCCTACCGCTTCACCATTTACAAGAACAGAAAATTTTGAACATGAAACGAACCCCATAATCCACTTTTTCAAGCTTCACATTCTTACCCATGTTCCTCAAGATTCGCCTCAAACACTCCCAACTAACTGAATCAAATGCCTTTTCAATATCAAGTTTTAAGATGATCCCCGACTTTCCACTACGCTTCCTGCTATCAATTGCTTCGTTAGCAATCAAACTAGCCTCGTGAATAACTTTCTTCTTCTTTCCAGCAAACTGAAACTTCGAGACAAACTTGTGCGAGACCAGTTGTAATCTAGCCAAGACAGCCTTTGAGATAATTTTGTTAATACTCCCAATGAGGCTAATCGGCCGGAAGTCTTTCACTTCTTCAACCGCTTCTTTCTTGGGGATCAAGCACACGAAAGAGTGTGCAACAGAATGCGGTAGAACACCGCTGAGGTAGAAATCGTCAAAGGCTTTCAGAACATCTGCTTTAATGATGTTCCACAATTTCTTAATGACAGCAAGAGTAAAACCATCTGGCCCCGGTGCCTTATCCCCATTACACGAACAAATTGCGCTCCACACTTCAGCTTCTGTGAAGGGGACAGTGAGATTGAGGTTTTCCTCTTGATTGATTAAAGCAGCCTTAAAGTCAACTGGAAAAAGGTCTATCCTTCTCGATCTCCGTAAACCTTTCACGAAAATGATTGACAAAGGCCTGTTGAAGTTCCCCTTTCTCCACGATCACCCTTCCATCAACTACAGCTGGGATAATAGATAGGAAAGGGTTCTCTTAACAGGAACTAGCATTTTTGGTCACTTGCGAGGTCAAATTTGAATGGTAGGGTTAGAGTTAGTGTAATAAATTTATTAGAAACACTAATCGACCGTAAGAATAACATTGATTTTTGACAAAGATTTTAGTGATCTCTTGTAAAATATTTGATATATCCGCTAGTCTTTTTTTTTTTATTATTATTTTATTTGCCGGATGTGAGCTTAGTATTGGCTCCTTAACACCCTTCCCCAATATTTAGCGCGTGGTTTTCTTTTGGTTAAGAATTAAAATATATAATGCCGTGTGGAAGTCCTCTCTTTGATTTTGTAGAAGATGAAGATGAAGATCACTACGTCAGTAAGCTAACATAATCATACCTAAACTCTTTTTACCTAAATTTAACCACATATCCAACAACCTGCTTTTGCCTGTTAAACCTGATTTCGAGCCTCCATGCAATACCATATATTTCCCGACCATTGTGAATAACACAATTGCATTTAAACCTTATAATCGCATTTCAATCTATTTGATTAATTTAACGGTTAAGGTTAAACGACAATTTGAGTTCCTTATTTTTGATTGAGATGTATCTAATTAGTTTTATCTTGGATTTCAAATAGTTCGGAAGTCGGACATAAATTAGAATTAATTATAATCTACAAAATTATATAAACTTTTATATGAATAAATTATATAAATTCGATATTTTAAACAAATAATTTTTGACCATGTAGACCAGCATCATACCAATAAGATATATTTATTGTACCATCATAGTAGAACTATTACCTTTATGATATATTTTCATACTACAATGATATATTTTTGTACTATCATAGTATACTACATACCACGGTGATATAATTTTTGTACCATCATAGTAAAGGACATGTCGATTAATATTTTTCTGTTGTTATAAGTATATATTAATTTGCAGAGTTTATATGTCCAAGTTTCAACACCTTTCGCTCTCAATTCGTATAGCAACAAATTATCAAATTTGAGGTTTCCTAGTTGATATTTTATTTAACTCCATAGTCAAAGGGCATTAGTCGTATGCGTTCATTAAGTTCATAGTATATCTTTTTAGCTTTGGTTAATTAGTATATAAAATAGGTCTGGGTTTTCTGGCGTTGTTGGTAATAGTTTGGTTTGGCCTTTCTAAAATGAGGGTTCAACCATGGTTAGTAAATCATGATCTAGGTAAGCTACGCTTGCTCTTATTTAGTGCTCTATTGCCTGCTGGTTAACGAAAGTTTTCTAGTAGTACAAATCGCTATGCTTCGCTTCTTTCTATATGATAATATGCAACTTGGTTGTTGTGCTTGCTGTGACCTGTGGGTATTAGCAAAAGAGTAAAGAATGAAAGATCCTCCAAACAAAAAGAATGGATTGAGTTCGACTCATGCGAGTGAGGTTACAATATTTTATGTTATTTCAAAAGTGAATAATAATTTAATTTCTCAAATGTATTGGATGTGTTTAGTACCTAAAACATTCAACAACAAAAAAAAAAGACGACTTTACAATAATATTAGATTGAGTTCATATATATGAATATTAAATATATTTTTGGCAAGTATGAGTCCAACTCCTCTTAGCATTGAAAATCCTCATGTGTTCACAATCGTTCACATAGGTCTAAATGCCTAATTATTTTGTTTGCATTTGCTCTTAATTCTTTCCTTACTCTTTGTTTTCAATATATAATAATATAATAATTCTCTCTCTTTCAAAAGCGAACTACGTACACCAGTCACCAAGATTCTCAACAAAAAAAAAAAAAAAAAAGGATCCAGATTAATAAGTTTGATCTAACGGTGGCGAAATCCCATCAATCGTGATCAATGAACCATCACTGCACCATGCAGGCCCATCGTTGATCAGACCAAAAAGTCTAAACTCTCACACCTCATCATCATAAATGTGTCCACACGGCTCACACCACAGACAAATTCCATCACATGCTCTTTTTCTTTTCTTTTTAACCATCCTCCAATTTTGGGTATAAATTCAAAGCCGAGTGAACTATCAGACCAACATTAATCACTCGTCGATCTTCCACTTATCATCATCTCCTCCGAAAATGGTTCGAGCTGCTTTCTACGACGACAATGGGCTGAAGAAAGGCGCGTGGAGCAAAGAAGAAGACGAGAAACTGCGGGACTACATCCTCAGATACGGCCATTGGAACTGGCGCGAGCTCCCCAAGTTCGCCGGCTTGTCCAGGTGCGGCAAGAGCTGCAGGCTCCGGTGGATGAATTACCTCCGCCCTGACTTGAAGCACGGCCGTTTCACCCAAGAAGAAGACGATCTCATCTTCCACCTCTACCAACAGCTCGGAACCAAGTAATTATTATTAAACACCTTCGAAACCACCCAAGATATATAGATCTTAATTAAGATTCTAGTACAATGTTGTCGGATATTTTAAATACGAACCACGGATAGATGGTGGAGGTGGTAAAGGCAGTCCAGTGAAACCTGGATTCGATCCTTCGCACTCGCCACTTCTGCGTTATCTTCTTGGTGATCACCGACAAGACTGTAAACTCGTATTAAATGCTCCTAGAGTTTGTCGAGTATCTATTGGAACCGGGTTTACCGTTGCAATACGGATTCCTTTCTTGTATAAAAAAAAAATTAACACGTGATCTTTTCTTCCCCTTCTCCTTGCTCCAGGTGGTCACTGATAGCTTCCAAGATGCCTGGAAGAACGGACAACGAGATCAAAAACTACTGGCACGCGCATCTCAAGAAACGAGTAGGGTGGACGAAGAATGAGAGCAGATCAACACCTTCATCATCCTCGTCATCACGTCCACAACATTCCGGCAGTCAAACCCACGTGGAAACCGATGACGTGGAGGCTGAAGGTACTACTTCATCACTCGCCAGCATGGTGATACTCGAGAGCTCCCCGTTGTCACCGGAGGCCTCTTCGTCCGGTGAGCAGGCTGCCGCCGTTGGAAGTTGGGAAGATGGTTGTATGGACGGCGGTTTATATGGTCGGCGTGGAACGGCAGAAAGGGGACAGGGTATCGATAGTCATTATTACCAAAATTGTTATGACACAATAAGTTGTACTAGTGGTGGTGGGGATTTCTGGAGCGAGCCATTTGTGGTGGATGATAGTACGATATACGGTGGAGGAGACAGTTATAACAGCGACCTGCAGCCATATTTTTGGCCGTGGGGAGGAGGCGATGAGGATGACGACGTAGATCTCATGTACCGAGCGATGCAAGAGCTTCCAGACACTACTACTACTACGTCCTGTCTCTTGTCACAACAACTTTAATAAAGTACAGGTGTCCCCATTAATTCGTCGGGATATATTCTCGTTAGAAAGAGAACCATTTTTTTTTTTTTTGTGTGTGTGTGTAAAAGAGCGAGAGGCGTAAAGGGCGTCTTAAATGGTGATTAGATTAGATCCCCCGGGATTAGTTAATTAATAATGGAATTGAATGTAAATATTTAAAGTGAGATGGGTACAGACATCATCTAGAGTTATCGCTAAGATGGAATAATAATATTATTATATTCATTAGGGAGTTACTGTTTACTGTCATGAATCATGTCTTAGGTAGTGACTGTTTGGGAATGTTGCGAGTCACGACACAGATACTGTTCATCCTTACTCTCAAAGCGAACAACACGATCGACTAGACTTAATTATGTGGTTGAGGTGGATCAAGACTGGTTATTATATATTCTCGCAGAAAACCATCTCCATCAATTTCCAGTTCTAGAGCACCCATTCCCGCTTTCCTATGCTCGGAGTGGTTGTTTCATCACCATTTCTAGGCTCCATAAGCCCTGGTTGCGGTGCTGGGGAGATGTGTTAAACAATCAAATCTGCATATCAAAGAGCAATGACAAAAAACACGAGATTTAACGTGGTTCGGTCTTTTAAAGAGACTTTACTTCACGGTGGTTAATATTTTTTGGTGTTTCTTATTATTCAACAAACCATAAACCCTAACGCAGGGATATATAGCTCGCCCATGCACAGCCCTAACCGCTAAGCATATGCATTCATTTCATCCAGTCCACATATTGTCTCTGTCAGAACAGAAGCGTGCAATCGATAATCCAAACCAACACGAACAAACACAAATTTAACGTGGTTCACTAACACAATGTGTGCTAGCTAATCCACGGGCAGGGGGGGACAAGTTTCACTAATTTGAGGAGAGTATAGGTTACAAACCAAATTCCAAACGGACAAACCAAACAAACTAACCTGACTGACCTTACTACAGACTAGGGTGATGAAGAGTATTTATAGAACTCTTCTCCTAATCCCAAACAGAAAACCAAACACCTTTTCCCAAACATACAAGGAAAAGGTCAAACAAAGCCCAAACAAAATAGGTCCAAACACAAAACAAACCCAAATCAAATTCAAGTCATATTCTAACAATCTCCACCTTGACTTGAATTCTGTAAAATACCAGATGTACCAGATGCAACCAAAGTTGCTAGATGTACCAAACGCAACCAAAGTTGCCAGATGTACCCAGACGCGATACATATCGCCAAATTTACCCAGATGCGATCGAAATCACCAAACTCAAATGCGATGCAAATCGCCAAACTCAGATGCAATCAAAATTGGCAGACGTACCAAACTCCTCCAAATAAGCTGTACCAGAATCTCCCCTACCTCCAAATGCCCCTAAGGGCGATCAACAAATCAAAACATGCAGCAAGTCCAACCCATATTGGGACTTGCCATGCATAACCAACTTGGTGTTATTTTCGTCCATTACACCAACATCATTTATAACTCTAACTTCAAACCTACAGCTCCAAATTGATTTCTCAATCTTCAAATCCATAGCATACATCCTTGGTGATCGAATTCTCCCCAAACCACAAGCTATTACCGAACACTATAAATTCAAGTAATTGCTTCCAAATTCCAATTGATCCGCCAACTAGCTCTCTGTCGCAAATTCCAAATTTTCTTCTCGACAAACCCAAATCGAAAACTATCTCCTGATACCGTAGCGGTCACAAAAATCCCTAGCCAATTGCCCAGCCGATCGACCAGGCTCTGATACCACTTGTCATAACAGAAGCGTGCAATCGATAATCCAAACCAACACGAACAAACACAAATTTAACGTGGTTCACTAACACAATGTGTGCTAGCTAATCCACGGGCAAGGGGGGACAAATTTCACTAATTTGAGGAGAGTATAGGTTACAAACCAAATTCCAAACGGACAAACGAAACAAACGAACCTGACTGACCTTACTATAGACTAGGGTGATGAAGAGTATTTATAGAACTCTTCTCCTAATCCCAAACAGAAAACCAAACACCTTTTCCCAAACATACAAGGAAAAGGTCAAACAAAGCCCAAACAAAATAGGCCAAACACAAAACAAACCCAAATCAAATTCAAGTCATATTCTAACAGTCTCATATATACAAATAAGTCCCTCACTAAAACTATATTTACAAATAACACTTCAATACCCCGTCAAACTGATGGTGCTTGCCACAAGATCAGTTTGTGTGAAAGAAACCAGTGTCCACTAGTAGAGACTGCTTTTATAAGCAGGTTTGCCGGTTGCTCTTCTGTCATCAAATACTGTAGTTGAAGCCAACCATCTAAGACTAACTGTCGTATATAATGAACATTAACCTCGATGTGCTTGGTACGCTCGTGAAGAACAGGATTCTTAGCAATCTTTTAGCACTAACATTATCATCAAATAGTCGAACAGGCAGCTCACAATCAACCTGCAACTCGGCAAGCAGTCTATGTAGCCAAACCAGCTCAAAAATCACATCCGACATCTACCGGTACTCAGCCTCGGTAGAAGACTTGGAGATCTATTAGCACTAACATCATCAATATGAAGGGTTCGGGGAGAGGACATAAATTGACTGACCATTTGAATAGTATAAGACAGATCCGACCGAGTAGAAGTCAAGTAGATAAGACTGCCAACTATGCTCCTATAGCGAGTACCTTCAGAAGCAGCCAATGGACTACCCCCCTCTGAGCCGAATATTTCAGATGTTGTTCTATGGGAGTAGATGAAGAATTACAATAAGCAAACTGAGCTTCCTATAGTAAATCCAAGATGTAGTTATGTTGACAAACAAAGATCCGTGGGACGAGCGCTGAATCTCCACTCCAAGAAAGTAAGAAAAATTACCCAACTTTTTCAACTTGAAAGCGTTGTGCAAAACCTATGTAAGCTCACGAATACCATCTTGATCACTACCCGTAACAATCATGTCATCCACATATATGAGAAGAACCACAATACCATGTACCGTACGTCGGATAAAAAGCGAAGGGTCGTTCTCACTCTGGTCAAAACCAGCCTGAATGATAGTGTGATGGAATTTTTCGAACCATGCCCGTGGTGCCTGCTTCAGACCATATAGAGATCGATTTAACTTACAAACTAGAGACCGATCACTCGTACCATAGCTAGGAGGAAGTTCCATATGAATGGTTTCCTTCAAATCTCCATGTAGAAAAGCATTCTTCACATCCAACTGCGTCAAGTGCCATTGGCGAAGAGCTACAACAGCTAGAATTGTCCGAACTGTTTGCATCTTGGCGATAGGAGCGAAAGTTTCATCATAATCAATCCCAAATTCACGACGAAACCCTTGAGCAATGCCGTGAGCTTTGAACCGTTCGAGGAATCCATATGGGTGCAACTTGATATTATACACCCACCTACTTCCCACCACAGATTGATGAAGTGGACGAGGAACAACATCCCACTTTTTTTGAGCTTCCATAGATGATACTTCTTCCCGCATTGCCGCGTTCCACCGCTCATCCTTGCTAGGTTTCAAATAAGAGAATGGAATAGGAATATATGAAGGATCAGCGGAGAAAGAAACAAAGTCACCATGACGCTGGGGAGGTTTCCCAAAGTTGTTGCGAGAAGAATGCCTATGCACAATTGATGACTTGATATATACACGTGTTTTTTTCCACCATTCTTACACCATTTGAGTCTTATTTCTCGAGTTTTAGGCCGATTTCACGCTAGGTTGTTCTTGTTTGTGATATTTCAGGTCCTAGTATGTGAATGAAGGTTGGGGAACGAGTTCGGAGTCAATTGGACGAATATTGGACATTTGGCGAGAAGCTGAGGAAGGCACACGGGCACAACTAAAAAATCCACACGGCCGTGTGACATCAAATTGCACAGGCAAGCCACACTGGCCGTGTAGGGGGACCCCTTGTGGTCGTGTGGAAAGTCCAGGGAGCTCACACGGGCAGCCTGGAAATCCACACGGCCGTATGGTTTTGGCCGTGTAGCGTACCTGAAGCCACTTAAGTGAAACACGGCGTTTCCCACACTCACACGAGCAGCTGGGAAAGCCACACGGCCGTGTGGTCGGGAATTTCTGGGTTTTAACCCAAATTCGAGCCAAAGGAGAGGGAATCGTCTTTTTGGAGCAAAAACAGAGCCATAGAGAGAGAAAGTGCAAAGAACACCCCCTAAGAGTGGTTTTGGAGCTGGGTTTCATCAATCAAACTTGGAAATCATCCTTGGAGTGAAGATCATCATCACAGAGAAGATTCTTCCCATCTTGATGAGTATGTCTGCTTTGTTTGCTGTTTTCCTCTCTCTCTCTCTCTCTATGGAGTAGAACTCTCTCGCACTTGGGTATGAAGAACCCTAGTTCCATGTGTTAGGAATCTTGATTGTAATTACGTTTGGATTGTGATATTGCTTGATTATAATCGATTGAAGTGTGTTGATTGAGTCAATTGAAGTCTGATCATCTTTTATTGATTTCTACTGCAACCTGAGATAGATAGAATCTGATTAGGTTGTTGGAGCTTCTTTAATCGGTAGTAGTGAATCGATTATACGAGAGTTAGTCGATTCACTGCTTTGTACTAGAATCTAATTCCAGTAGTGGAGTTCTGTGTTCATTGCCTCGGTGTTTTATCCCGGTGAAGACTAGTCGTCTACCGGGTAGTTTGATTGAGAGGGTTTGGTAAGCTTAAGAGATTCCAAGCTATTGTCGGATCTTCCGCATTATAATCAGCAGTAAAGCAACCAAAAGTAATTACAACTGTGACCTAACTAAGGAGCTAGGGGGACTCATTCCCGAATGACTCTTCCCTTGCTTTAGAAAACCAAATCATTTTATGCTTTCTTACTGCTTTTACTTAAATCAACAATCACTCAACTTAGTTTGCTAGATAATAGATAATCACGGAGTAGGCAGTAGATTTAGACCCCGGGTTGACAATTAGAGCTTGCCTGTTACTGCATTTCAGGACTGCGATTACACTTGGTCGCAGTTTGGTGTTGTGTTTTAGCACGTCAAGTTTTTGGCGCCGTTGTCGGGGACCCTCTAGGTTATTGGAGAAACGTGAAAGTTTGTTACTCTAGCTTTTTCTTTACTGCATTTTCTCTCTTCCACCTGTGTGCTCTCACGGGTTGCTTTTGCTGATTGTGTGCAGGT